ATTTATAAAACTGATATTTTTCTTGTTATTGTTCACTGCTTTCAAATCACTAGGACTCATAGTGACCCAATGAACAACAAATCTGACTATTGTCCTCCTGCACCATCCTCACCACTCAAGCTCATGGTTACGGTCACTATGTCAGTCAACCTTGTTGGGAGTCTTCCTCACTTTTTTCTGACCCTCAACCTTTCCCAGCAGGACGCTTTTTTCCAAGGACTGGCGCCTCTTTTTTTGTTAGAGGATTTTGTGTGTGTGTGTGTGTGTGTGTTTAAATTAATAGAAATGCATTTTTTTAATTGAGATTTTAATGAGTTTATAGAAAACTTGGATCTTCAGTCATTCATTGTTGCACATTTTCCTCCCTCCTTCCCTTGCTTTTCTCTTTGAGAAAAAAAAAATTCTTTTATTGTTGTACAACTCTCCCCCCAACTCCCACAGTCCTTCCTTAGAAAGTTAAGGATAGAAATAGGACTTGGACATATCCAGAAGAAATAAGAACTGAGACACAAACTGATATTTGACTCAGCAATTCCACTACTAGGGATATAGGCCAAAGAAATCAGAACTGTCACTTAAATTGACATATGCACACCCATGTTTATTGCAGCATTATTTATAATACCAAATACTTGAACACAATCCAAATGTCTATTAATAGACAAATGGCTAATGAAATTATGGCATGTTCACATCATGGAGTATTATGGAACACTGAGAAACAGTCAAGAATTCATGAACTACTGAACAACAAAGATGAATATAGAGGAAATTGTGCCAATTGACATAAATCAGAGGTTGACGACACACAGAACCATTCTTGGATGATGAAAGGATTGGGAAGGGAAAATGGAGTAAAAATCACTAACTAGATTAGTTGAGTGAAGGGAAAGGTATGCAATAAAGAGTTGGTCATATACAGTAATTTATTAATTATATTGATGTTACATGACTGTAGAATCAAACCTGACTCATAACAGACACTCCAAGCGGTTTTCAGAGGCTGTAAATCACACTAGCGGAGATTGTCTGTCTACCTCTGAGACAGATTCAAAGCATATGTCTTTGGGTTGACAGTGCCCCTCCTTATCCTGAGGCCACTAGAACTCCCTGTTAATTACATGAATCAATGGTAGTTAATGTTGTGAAGTAAAAATGACTATACATGATGGCTGTATGGAAAACTGTGCAAACTTATCAAATAAAAGAGAAATCTTAAAAAAAGAATACCCATTATATTGCTATTGTTATTGTTAGGTGCTGCCACTGAGTGGAGTATGAATCATAATGACCCCGTGCACAAAGGGTCTGAACCCTGTTCTATCCTGTGCCATGTTCACACCCCCTGACACACAAGAGCCCATTGCAGCAGTCACCATGCCAATCCACCTGGTTGAGGGTCTTCCTCTCCTTGGCTGACCTTCCACCTTTCTCAGAATCATATCCCTCTCCAAGGAATAGCCATTCCTAGGAACATGCTCACCCATTTTATAGTTAGGGGATACTAATTTTCTTCTTCTTCTTTTTTTACTTTTGTACAAATCCATCTTCTGATAGCTTAGTGGATAAGGAGTTGTGCTGCCAATCCAAATACAACGACGGTTCAAATCCACCACAGGAGAGATGGCCAGTGTCTTCCAGTGTGATGTGTAGTCTCTGAAAGTTCAGAGGAAGGTTTGCTAGGAGTTGGTTTTTATTTCATTGAAATGAGTTAGTCAGGAAGACAGTTGGATGTTCCTGAAATCAAAAGAGAATTGAAAATTTTATAGATTTTCAATTTTCTTGATCTAGATTAAATCCCGAGTGTTATAAAGTCTCAGTTGAAAGCTAGTTCTTCTTGGCTGGCAAATCTGATTTTTAATTACTTCAAAAATGTTTGATGCATTTTTACAGAGCTCTGTTGGATGGTACAGACTAGGACAGGGTTCAGAACTGTTGTCCAAAGGACCACTATAAATCATATTGGCTCAGCTGTACCTAACCACAACTTGTGGGGTAGCCCATAGGGAGTTGAACCAATAACCCAAAGGTGATTAGAACTCAAGGTTCAGGTAATGAATCCACCTACACTGCCAAAAGAACAAACAGACGAGTTTTAGAGAAAGTGCAGCCAGAGTGCTTCTTAGTGGCAAAGATGATGAAGCTTTGTCTCATATACTCTGGGCATGCTGCCAGGAGAGGTTATTTCTTGGAAAGGAACATCATGCTTGGAAAGATGGAGGGACAGTAAAAAAGAGGAAAGACCAGGTGGACTGACACAGTGACTTCAGCAATGAGCTTGGCTGTGTCAGAGATGATGAGGATGGTATAGGATTGTTTCTAGAGTTGCTATGAGTCACGCTCAACTCAATGGAACCTAAAAACAATAATGACCTACTCTTTGGGAGGTCTGGTGGCCTAGAGGTAAGAAGCTGCACTGCAATCCCAAAGGCATGCGTTTTGAATCTACCAGCTACTCTTCAGAAGGATGAACAATCTTCTCCCATTTACACCGCTGGAGGGTAAGCTGAGGGTCAGTTCTGACAAGTCTGGCACACAGCAACAGCTGCTCTGTGGGAGAAATCGGGTCAATCTCCTTCCTTGTGATTTACAACCTCACTAAACCAGCTGGAGAATCAGTTATGAGTTTGTTCTGACTCGAGGGGAAATGAAAATGCACTTGTGATTTTTTCCAACTGATAAGGAAGGACATGTAAAAGTTATAGAAACACAGGTGGAGAAAACAAACAGAAGATGTAAAAAAAAAAACAACCCTTATAGCCTACTCTTTATGATACAGTAACTGGGAAAATGGGGGCTGGTGTGTTGGAGGGAGACTCACTCAGGATAGGGTGGGCTTCAGAGCTCCTGTACACAAGGGTTGCTACAGATCATAGGCAACTCGATGGCACATAACAGCAACTGTTTGTGACCTAGTTTAAAAAAAATTATAAAAACATTTGATTATATTAAAATATTTCATACTTGCTAACTAAGTAGAGATGTCCACAAAAAAGAAGAAGACCCTCAAGAGGACACAGCGGCACAGTGGCTGCACAAATGGACAGAGGCTAGCAGCGATTATGAAGACGCTGTGGGTAGCATGGTTGTGAGTCAGAACCAGTCCCATAACAACAAACCAATACTGGTGGCACAATAGTTTGTTAATGCTGAATAAATGCATAGATTGTTGGTTGGAGCCCCAACAGCTGCTCTGCAAAACAAAAGGCTGGCAATCAGTTTCCAGTAAGAAAACACTGTGAAATAGTTCTATTCTGAGATATGTTGTTGTTGAGTGTGGTAAAGTTGGAACCAACTCATAGCTGAGCTTGCAGAGGGTTTTCAGAGCCTAGAAATTACAGGAATTAGATGGGCCATCTTTCTCACCATGAGCAGCTGGTGGATTTGAACTGTGTTGGAATTTCATGCTGCCAATCATGCTACCATAGAGTTGGAACTTATCCATAGCTGACCCTCTGGTGAGTTTTCAGAGGCAGTTAATCACATGGGAAGTGATTGTCCATATTTCTCCCATGGAGCAACTGGTGGCCTCAAACCATGTGCCTTTGGAATTGCAGCACAGCTTCTTGCCACTAGGTTACCAGAGCTCTAAAGGCTCCCAGATGGGTGGCTGCAGTGTGTGTGCCAGGAAGTCAGAACCAACCCATAGCTGATCCTGTTGTTGTGTGCTTCGAGTCAGGAATTGGCCCATAGCAACCTCCAGTGGGTTTTAGAGGCAGTTAATATCTCCAAAGGAGATGTCTCATCCTCCCATGGAGCAGCTGGTGGATCCAAACCATATGCCTTCAGGTTTGCAGCGCAGCCACCAGGCCCTCAAAAAGGGAGTGGTTGGTGACAGCTGACGATGATTATTATGCATGATGGCCGACCTCAGAATAGAGTAGCAGCATTACTCTGAAACTTTCAATCTGTAAAGTCTGAAAGAACTATAATGTAAATATATTGAAACAATATAAAACAACTGCTGTCAAGTCTAGTTTGACTTAGAGACCTCAAGTGTGTAAGCCCATAACTGTTCCACAGGGTTTTCTTGCCCCATAAAGCAATGGATGATTTTTTCAGAGAAAGATCACCAGGTCTTTCTTCGAGGTACTTAGGACTGAGCTCCTTCCAATCTTTCCCCCCACCCCCAACTACAAATAATCAAAACCCGCATGAATGCCTTTTGATGTAAAGCACCCACCATGTGTGCGAAACAGTCTGTTTCAAGGTTGATAATTCCGTTCAGGGCCGGCCAAGTCTAAGTAATGAGTGGTAGGATTGTGCGGGAAGTTCTGCTGTTACTTGGGAGGAGAAAAATATCACCTTGGCCCTTTGTTTCCATGTCTACGCAGAAGCATCCAGGTCTGTCCCAGACCCTCCGGGCTGGTCTCTCGCCTTTTAGACGAAGGAACAGCCTCCGCTGCTGCATCCTTCACTTTCTCCTCCTCCGCCTCCCCGCTCTATTTTGGGACCCCATGATCTCATGCCCTCTGCAGACCACACTGCCAGTCCAGTCGGGTTCCAGCCCGCGCTGCTAGGCCCCGCAGGGAAGCAGGGAAGTGACTGTAAGAGTGCGCACGGTGCCAGGGCGCGGGAAGGGGCAGTCTTGGGGTGAAGTAAAGGCACGCCCACGACAAGGACTAAAATAGCCAAGTGGCCGAGTGGCCGAAATCAGAAATGAGACAGGAAGCCAAATAAACCGGGCACTGGGTTGCGCGCCGCGAGGCACTCCCGTGCGCTCTTGCGGAGGGCAGGGCTCCAAGGCCGGGCCTGGCTGGCGGGCGGCGGGACCAGCGGAGCGGGGCGGGGCGGCCGGCGCGG